TGCTGCGGTGCATGCCGCCGCTCTGGCGCTGCAACCGGCACGTGGAGGCGCTGGACCGGCGGCACTGCTCGCTGCAGGCCGTGCCCGAGGAGATCTACCGCTACAGCCGCTCGCTGGAGGAGCTGCTGCTGGACGCCAACCAGCTGCGGGAGCTGCCCAAGGTGAGGCCGCGGCCCGGCCCCGGGGAGCGCCGCCCGGCCCGGCCCGGCCCGGTGGGAGGCCGCCCCTTGCCGCCGGCGCTACCCCGGCCTACGCGGCCCTGCTCCCGGCAGCGGCCTCCGCCCGGCCGCGCCGAGCTCTCGGTGCGGAGCGCGGCTTCACTCGGTCTCAGCCCGGGCCCGGTGGGGCTCCGCGCTCCCCGCAGGCGCTGGGCAGGCTCGGGACCCCCTGGCCTCGGGAGGGGGGGTCTCGGCCTCCCGATGAAGGGGTCTCCTTCCCGGTGGAGGGGTCTCCTGCCCACCAAGGGTAAACCCTGCGTGGAAACCGGGAGCCCTATGCACTACACTCGCTGCTCCGCAAAGCACAGCGTCAGTTTCAAAACTCTGGTTTAGTCCCCAAAGCGCACGACGTGCCAGATAACTTTATTAAAAGCAGTAGAGGTGCTCTACACCGATTATCTGGGACTCCAGCCTGCACTGGGAACCTCTTCCCCGGCTGTGTGGAGCTGCAGAGCTCTCTTCTCTGTGCAGGTAACGCGGGTGGTGACCCCTCAGCGTGCTGCCACGCACCCTGCCCAGGTGGTTTCCCTGTAGGAGCAGGGGAATGGGGATCTGCTCCCCAGACCTGGCCGTCTCCAACACCCAAAGGGTTGGCTTCCACAAGACAGGAGTCTTGGGAGGGGGCTGAGCTCCTGAGCTTGCACCCTAAAGCAGTGATGTTCCCTCGCTGGTGGGAGATCTGGAGCACAGGATACCAAAGACAAGCTGGAATTTGAACCTGCCTCTCGGGAAGGAGGTGGCTATAAGACGTTACTGGGCTATAGGGTGTTCTGGGGGAAGTTTTACCATGTATCCCCTGTGGAAATGGTACTGTGTTTGAAAAGTTAGTTAAGTGTTACTTTGGCTAGAGAGAAAAATAAGAGAGTCGGTAAATACAGACTAACCTTTTAACTAAAATTACCTTTTATTGGAATTACTGACATGTTATGAAATTTGCCATGAATTCTGTGGGGGGAAAAAACCAAACAACACGAAAACAAAAAACTCATTTTTGATTCAGGCCAAGGTAATTTGAGTTTTGTTAAACTGTACAATTTATGCATTCCTACCTAAGCAGATTCCCTTCTACAGAAACAGCACGTTCTTGATGATCTCCTGATGGCTCTAATATTTCTGCGTTCTCTCTGTCTTTCCTGCTGGTGTGCCTCACGCCGGGCTGCTGTGGGATTGAGCTGTGAGGGCACGTTGCTCGGGTGTGGAGACACGCGTGATAATTCACCAGCTCCCTTCCGTCGTGCATCTGGGGATCTCGCTGTACTTTAGGCGGAGATATTTCTCAAACTCCTGGAAAATGTGTGTTAGAGGCAGGTTGGGGCTCATGAATGAGCGTAAGTCTCCTCTGCAGAGGAGGCTGATTGTGACACACCCCAGTGAACCTGCCAGTCCTTGCGCTGCTCAGCTCCTTACTGTCCCGAGTAGTCACAGCCCTGCTTTGCCTTTACGTAGGAGGCATTTGGATCAGGATGTTGCTGGGTTTTCTTTAGCTTTTGGAGAGTATCTTTTGGATCATAAATGCAAATTTTATACTGACATTTTATTTACCTTGTGATCGGGTAGAGCTAATCCTGCCTGTGACAGGAGGTGCTCTGTGTCTGTCCCAAGCACCTTGTCTCTGTCACCAAAGAGCTTCTATTTGTGAACGCTGTGGTCTAACTCCTCCAGGCATTGGGTCTCTTTGGCTTGGGAGCATCAAGAGCTCTCACCATGACCTTTCCCAGGTTCCCTCTGGTGTTTGATTTCCCCAAAAGTTTTAGACTTCTGGCAAGGAATTACTGGAAAACCAATAGAGAACAGACGGGTAAGGTTCTTGTCCTCTAGGCTCAAAAGAGATGCAGTGAAGTCAGAAGAGGTGCAGCGAGTAGGGAGTTGGAAATGGCATGGTCAGACCCAGTACGCAGTGGCTTCTGCACAAGGAAAATGAATGCTTACAAGGTCTCTTCAGTCTGGACAAGGTAGCACCACTCCTCCATCAGAGGACAGAGGTCTGGAGCATCACAGATGTCCTGGAGGGAATGAACAGGGAGCAACTGACTGCTGTTTCTTCCTGCAGGAGGGCCAGGGAGCATGAAGTGAAACCCAAAAGGGCTCAGTTCAGAATAAGTGAAATAACTTTTCATGCAAAGTGTAGTTAAGCTGAAGTGTGGAACTACTTAGTGTATGAGGTAATGGATGCTCAAGGTTTACATGAGTTCTGGAAAGAAGTGGACCAGTCCATGGAAGAGAAAATGACCGAAAATGAGGACACAGTCTTGTTTGTGCTGTACATCCCGGGAGAGACTCAGAGGAAGTGTTGTTCTGGACTCGCTGTACTCGTGCCCGTCCATGTCCAGTGCTGACTGCAGCTCCATTGGGCTTTCTCCAGTCATGGCGGGCATCACCCCATCCCTAGGAAAACCTGAACGCCCTCTCCCTCACACACAAGGTGAGAGTCAGACGTAGAATCGTGGAATTGTCTGTGTTGGAAGGGACCTTTCAGCTCATGGAGTCTAACCATCAACCCAGCACTGACAAACCTGCCACTGACCCATGTCCCTCAGCACCACGTTTGCCCGGCTTTTCAGTCCCTCCAGGGATGGTGACGTGTGTGGAACGAGGAGGGGTCACAAGCAAAGCACCCCTGAAGCTGCTCCTGAAGAAGTCTAAGGAGCTGGTGGGTGCTGCCTGGAGATGCTGTGCCCTGGAGATGCTTCAGGAAGAGCGGGCAGAAACAGTTGCCTCCCAAGTTGCCTCCAGCAATGGTTGGGTGGTCTAGAGGCAGCTGAGAAGGAGGTCTGCAGTTTGGTGGAATGAGGACACAAGGTCAGATCCACCTTGAGGTGTGTCCTAATGTTCTGTGCTCACAGAAATTACCCAAGCAGTGACATGGGGCACTTTTTAGTCCCAGGCACACAAATCATGGGTAGGAGGGACATTATTAATGGATGTTACTGTTGGGGTCAGAAACCTGACACAGGAGTATGAATCTGCGTGTTCTACAAGGTGGATATGGGTGAAAGCTGAAAATAAATTATCCTTCCACCAGAGAAAGAGGGGATGGCAATAGTGCATGTGGGCACGTGTTTTCCCTGCGGGAGGGCGATGGAGAGGCTTTTGGTTGGGTAGGGAGGACACTTTCCTCCATGGAAACATGCCTGTTGTGTGAGAGGGATGCTGGGAGCAGGATTGGTGCGTACCACGAAGGAAGATGGGGGGAAATGTGTTTATTTAACTGAACAGGGCTGTGTGTGCCCCTTCCCTGGGAGAAGGGCTCAGAGGGATACTGGGATGTGCCAGTAGGGTCAGGAGAGGAGAGCAGTCGGAAAAAACATGAATAAGAGAGCATATACAGTCTTTGGTAGCAAGTTTGACCACAGCAAGTTTGTTTCTTGAGAGTTCAAGCAGGGTTTTTGGGGAAAGCGTCCGTGTGGAAGTGTTTTTGGGAGTAAAGGGGTGGAGGGGCGGCTGGCATTTGGAAAGGCCTTGTTTTGCAGGGAGCAAACAACTGCTATGGAAAATGCTAAGATTTACCTGACCCCTCTTCTCTGGGTTTTCTTCCCTAGCGCCTACCACCAGGCCACCTCCGCCTGGCACATTTATTGGTCTTTATTCCAGAGTTCAGAGCTCTTTCTGAGGCACCATTTTCCTCCGTAGCAGAACTTCTTCCCATGTCTCCTTCCTGCTGCTGCTGCCTTGCTCCTGATCTGATTAACCGATGATCTGCTGCCACTGCTGAGTGCTCTTCTCCGAGCTGTAGAAGCCAAGGCTTGTTCCTCTCCGTCCTGTAGAATTCCTGCCAAGTGCTCTTCTCTCTGCTCTTCCTTCTTTTCTACTTGTCCCATGTGAACCTTGCCGGTTTTGGGTCCTGATTTTTCCCCATGGTGGCCACGCTCTGGCGGTTTGAAGCGGTAGATTAAATCTGCATGAGGAGCATCTGCTGCCGCGTTGCAGGGATTTGCTGCCAGGATGATAGGGCACGATTTAATAAAAAATGATAAATTCCATTTGGTAAGTTCATGAGGGTGTCTGCACCCCAGAGGGGGGAATGCCTTGCTCTGTGCTGGCTTTTGCTCTTCCTGCCTTGCACAAAGTGATCTCTGCAGGACCGTGAGCGTGTCGCATGCTACGGCATCAGCATAAACCGCAGGGACATCAGTTTCGAGGGTACAGCCCACTAAATTATTACATTAGAGCTACAAAAAACACCGGACTCCTTTAGTCCACTCTCGGTGAGCACTTGAGGGGTGCAGGTCTCACCGGAATGGAATGATCAAGTGCTGTCTGGAATTTGGAGGAGGGATTCAGAGGATGGCACTGGTCACAGCCAAGGAGTGGAGCGTGCTGGGTTTTCAGAGAAGCCCTCGGGTTTGGAGTAGGGGAGGAACAAGGGAGAGGCAGGAGGAAACCCGGGTGGAGCAGAGCTGGTGGGACCTGGTGCAGGAGGAGGAGAAGGTGGATCTGGGCAGGGACTAAGAGCCACGAACAAGGCGATGCGGAGGAGGGAGGAGACCTCTCCTCTGTGTCAGCATGAGGAGGGACAGGTCCACTGGAAACCTTCTGCAGGAAGAAGTCCTGGGTGGGAAGTGCAGTGAGGTGTGGAGACTGAGGGGTCGTGTAGACAGGGGAAAAGGAGGAAACTGAAGAGCTAAGTTTGATTTTTCCCTGCCCAGGGCAGAGGGTTGGAAGTAGATGATCTTTAAGGTCCCTTCCCACCCAAGCCATTCTGTGATACCAAGTGTTTGAACAGTGGTGGTGCTGAGAGACACGCCCTAGGGGTGTCTGATGGAGGGTTTGTTTTCTGAGGTTTTTGTACAGTTTTTCTGCTTCGCTGTTTCCTTACTAAAGCTCCCATGATAAATTTGGCCCAGTGCAGAAAGGTGTTTTTTTTTTCTCACTGCCACTGAAAGCTCCCAAGGGACAGACACCCAGCCGGAGCACCAGGGAGGGGAGGCCTTTTAGGTCCAGTG